ATGCTCAGCTGGGCCGTACGCAGGGCAGTTGTGAGGGGCTGTGCTAACGGCAGGTTGCAAATCGGAGCTAAGCGGCTTTCTAGAATTTGGCTTTAATTATCTGTGCTACAGAGCAACGAGTGATGCGTTCCTTCCCTCTGCTAGCAGCGTGTTACCGGGGGCTCCTTTCCATCTCTTAGCAGGGACCCCAACCCCGGCAGGAGCGATTCCTGGGCTATAGGGTGAGGCAGCAGCGTACGCATCCTCGCAGCCCGTCTGTGCAGCTTAAATGGTTGGACGACGATACAGCAAGCAGAGCAAAATCCTGGTGCTTCTAGAGATAGGTCCTTTGCGGTTAGCTTACCTTGGGCCGTTCACCTTGAGATGGCCTCTCTTGTCTTTTCCAGCGGATGAACTGAACGGAGAGTTCAGTCCTGTATCCGCTTGATGAAACGGTCTCAAGTTGGGCCAGGGGAGGTTCAGGTTGGATGTTAGGAAGAACTTCTTCACTGTAAGAGTCATTAGGCATTGGAACAGGCTCCCCAGGGAGGTAGTGGAGTCATCGTCCCTGGAGGGGTTCAAAAAACGTTTAGATGTGGCGCTTCAAGACGTGGTTTAATGGGCATGGTGGCATCAGGATTATGGTTGGACTTCATGTTCTTTGAGTGCTCTTCCAACCATAATGATTCTATGATTCTGTCAAGCTGCTGCGATTCCTGCGAGGCAGGAGGAGATGAGCAAGAGGGGAGCAATGTACGAGCATGCCCGCGTTATAAGGGGGTCCTCGGACTTTGTGGGGCTCTACCGCGTCCCTTAGTGAGGACTTGCACATCCCTGGAGCTGCCCTGAGTTCTGCCGGGAGCTGGATGCACGTGGGAAAAATAGGTTCTGCCTCTGACTCATTTACCAGCTGGGAAAAGGCAAAGGACTTAAATCTTGTCTTGATGGGACTTCCTTTGTGCTCTCGTTTTCCCAGGGCGGCCACTGACCACAACGTTGATAACACCACAGCAATCCTTAGAGAGTGGCTGAAGAACGTGCAGAACCTCTACCATGATGTGGAGTGGAGGCCCATGGAAGACCCCCAGTGAGTACTGCAGTGGGGGGCTGACTGAACCTGGGTAGCGTATACGTCAAACTTTCTAGATTTTCTGTTTTCAAACCAGATGTACTAAATGTCCAAGCATTAAATTTTTTTTTTTTTTTTTTGGTGGAGTCTCTCCCATTAGATTTGAGTTCTTACGGAGCCCATAAGAAGGTCTCCGGCTTCAGTGAAGCAACTCATGCAGAATTTCAGAAAAGAAAACATTTTTCCATTCAGTTATTGAGCATCTGCAGCTGCTCTCTTTGCATGGTAAACGAATCACATCAAAAGCTACAGGGAATACAAACTATCATTCTTTATTTGCAAGGAAGCAGAGAAATCATAGCCCATTCCCACAGTGTTTATGAAATTTCTGTCCAGGACATCAAATATTCAGTAAGTTCTGAGCCAGAGAACTAGATTTAATTCAGGATATTATGCCTTTGTATGACTTGCAGGATCATTGCTTTGAAATACGATGTTAGGTGGGTTGACTCTTTATTGCTTTATTTTTTATTTTTTATTTTTTTTAAAGATCGGCTGTTCCTTGTTTTGTTCTGTTTTCTATTTCTTCCATCGGGGAAAAGTATATCGGTTTCCTGGTTTTTTAGACTTGCTTTTACTTTCAAGGTCCTCAGTGCAGCGGTGGGGCATTTGTGGTACAAACCCACAGGGAATGCTTGTTTTATTGACTTTTTTTAATCCTTTCATTGAAATGGAGTTTTCTCAATCCCGTCAAGCTTGGCTTTTTTAAGTTCTATAAAAAGCTACTGAAATTGTTAGCTCCTTTGCTGGCTTGTGCTGGCACTGTGTCAAAATCCTGAATTTGTATTCCACATAGGTATCTGTCCCTAAGTTTTTGCTACAAAGCGCTTGCTTTTGGACCTGATCCTGAAAACAGAGACATGCGCATAACTTCGCTCCCATGATTGGGCTCGTGGGGTTGGGTGTTTGTAGATTTAAGAGCTGTTACCAAGATGTGTTAACAGTTACTAATAATGCCCACGACCCCCGAGGGAATCCAAGTTGCCTTCGTCTTCACATCCTCAGCTTTATTGATTCTACTGGGCTTAAAGAAGCAATGTCGATGGTCTTAAACTTGAAGCCTAGCAGAGGACAGATGAGTTTCTACCAGAGGGTCAGATGAGGTCCACTTTGGTGGGGTAACCTCGTCTTACGTCGGGTGAGGGCCTGTCGCTGCGGAAGAAACTCTGGTTTTCGATAGCGATGTTTTGCTTGCGGCCGCTTGGTTGGCAGGAAAGACTGCAACGCTGCTTGCCCTCCAGTGCCCTGTGTACGCGTGCCAGCACGAAACTTGGAATCGATCTCCCTCAAAACCTCTCCTGGGTTGCCTGAGGTGACTCTAACACTGTTTTTCTTTTGGAAAGAAGGCAGCAAGGGAACACA